GTATTTCACAAATAGATATAATTTCTGGGAAAGACAACAATTAAAATCCGCTCATGGGTGGGGGGGGGGGTAATGTGGAGGAATAGATGCCCGATTCAAATGCCAGGAAAAAAAAACTGCCTCCTGCATTTCCCTTGGCTGGGCGTGAGGTCAGGTCACTCAAGCTGACCTCGTATTAGGGCGACATGTCAAGGGATAGAGTCATTTCGAATTTAGGATCATGGGTTTTTGGACATATTGCATGTTCTGTATTAATTTCTTTCGGTAGAGAGCATTTAGTTGTAGACGATCTCTCTCTCTCTCTCTCTCTCTCCTCTCATCCCTCCCTCCTCCCTTCTCTCTCTCTCTCTCTCTCTCTCTCTCTCTCTCTCTCTATCTATCTATCTATCTCTATCTCTCTCTCTATCTATCTATCTCTCTCTCTCTCTCTCTCTCTCTCTCTCTCTCTCTCTCTCTCTCTCTCTCTCTCTCTCTCTCTCTCTCTCTCTCTCTCTCTCTCTCTCTCTCTCTCCCTCTCTCCTCGCTATCACTCCCTCCCTCCTTTCAATTCCCACTTTCTTTTCATTCCCTCTCTCTTCTCTCGCACAGTGGCTGCCGAATGACCTGCGACAGAGGCTACCAGGCTAAGATGCGAGGCCGTATCTACCTGCTCTGTGACCACAGCACAGGGAAACTGACGTATAACGGCAAGCCTTGGCGGGAATCCGTGCCCAGATGTGTTCGTAAGTCTGCATTCTTGGTTCTGTGTTGTGTTCGGATTAGTAAGATTTTTTTTTTGGGGGGGCATGTCTTTGTGTGATTAGACTTTTGTGTGTGTATTTGTGATTAGATTATTGTGTGTATTGTGTGTGTTTGTTTGTTCTGTGGGTATGTGGATTTTAATTGATTTTTCCCTCTTCAGTTAAATAATCAATATTAGCATTTTAGTATTATTAAGATTATTACATTGCAAATAGTTGCTTAATGAGTACTTCTGTTATTTGAGAATTTGAGATTAAATATGTGTATGTGTGTTTGTTGGTTTTGTTTGTGTGCAAGGTTTAACTACACTAGTGTATACCACCGCTGCCACCATAACAGATAGCATATGGGAGGGAAAAAAACGTAAATTTCTCCATTCAGAACAGAGCTTTGAAACAAACGAATAAATAGATAAATAAAAGACGAGATACTAGCACTTGCTTCTCTGCTTCAGGATTGTCCCAAGCCTTCGTGGGTCCCTGAGCAAAATTGGGCAAATGAACAATGATATGAACAGATTTATTTAACAGGAAAAATTGTGTCCTAGCACTTGTACATACCTTCTATATAGACTTAGCGAGCTATTGTGCTATATATTCAGAATTAAGATTAAATTTGCACGTTGATATGATATACACACCGAGAGATCAACAATTGAAAAACATATATAATTAGCAAGGGACAGATAGGGTACAGAGGATAGAATTTATAGTGAAAAACTACAACAAAGCAACTTGTGATAAACAGGGTATTATTATCATTATGACTATTGCCATCGATATCATCATTTTCATCAATTACTATTTTCTTAACGTCACCATTATCACTATTCTTGTTAATAAGAATAGTATCACTTCGATCTGCATACACAAAAACATAATGAAACGATACAGTATGTATTTGTTTTAGAGGATATGTATGAAAACGTGATGTGTGTGCACGCGCGTGTGTATGTATCCATATCAAATAAAAGAATAATAACCGTAGATAGATTATTAAAAAGAAAAAATATGAAAAAAGGGAAAAAAAGTAGAAAAAAATTATTATTTTTCAGGTGAATAATACAACCGCAGCTGGCCTTGATCCCCCTCGTTCTGAAGTGTACCGCTGTTTAACCATAATCCTTTCTTATGCTTGTTCAGTTCCAGTGTTATGCGCAAATAATTGTTCATTTACATGCCTAGTACTTTTCTTGTTCAGTATCCGGTGCCATGAACAAATCAGAGGTGATTTTTTTGTGTTATTTTCCTGTTTTTTTAGACGTGAGAACTGTTAATCACTTGATATTGCATCTATAATGAAGATGGATTCCATAACAATTGCAAATACTCTGCATTCTCCGCTGTATGAAATAAATTACGGTCAAGCTAATGGAATATGTTTTATAAACCTTGCAGCTGCAATGTGTTATTTCGACTATGGTTTTTAGGATACGGAAAGATATACCATCCCCGAAGACATACATAGGCATGCATAAAACACACACATACATATGTATATGTATATATATATATATATATATATATATATATATATATATTATATATATATATTATAGATGTATATATATCATATACATTTATATATATTGTATATGTATTATATATGTGTGTGTGTGTGTCTATCTACCTGTCTATCTATATGTATATATTTATTATATATATGTTTGTGTGTATGTGTGGTAAGGTCTTCTGTCGAGGGGAAGCCCGAATCACGAAGCCGAACGGACCGAAGGAGGGAGAGGAGGGAAGGGCCTTTC